TTCGGCATTGAGCGAAGGTTTCCATCGAATTTCATCGGGCTGACGGCTCTTCTGGCGCCGAAAACTCGGGCCTAGGTTGAACGTCCCGTGCACCGCGCGGTGATCAGATCCCAGATCTAAATAATCTCTCGGTGAGCAAGACTGGCAATGGAAAGAGGCATCAAACAACATATAATCTAGAACTCGCTTGGCACCAAGCGAGCTTCGAAAAGTCCACGCGTCGGGCGCGCGTTGCACGTTGCCGGCCTCAAGGCCGTTCTCGAAACAAAATGCTTGCAGTAGGCGCCCTCTTTCCCCAAAGTGAAACTGGGTGTTAAAATCACCTGCAATGCATATTGTCCGGCGTCGCCTCCTAGCAAAATCGACCTCCCGTTGTAAAAACGTGTAGCAGTCGAGTAAATCGGCATGCGGATATCCTGCGCGCGGCATGTGTACAGAAAAGAGCGTGCAAACAATGCCATTGATATTAATGTCTACTGCTAGCACACGGCCAAATCGCGAACGCGTGGCTGCGTAACCTCCCGCGCGCCGAGCACGTAAGCAGATAGCCACCCCAGCGTATCTAGACGAGCCCGCTGCCGCTATGAAGCGGTGACCCCCGTCGAGATCAATATCATCAGACGCTGCACGGGTCTCACTAAAACAAACAACATCCCATGTTAGTTCCGAAAGCTCCCCAAGCAAAAGCCCTAGCCGATCACGGGTATGTACACGTGCGTTTTTCCCGTAAACGTTAAAATTCAGATCAACATTGAATTCTGGTGAAACGTCTCCTGTTCCCCTCGACCGGCGTTGTCCCTAGCTGCGACCGTCTGCAGCTGCCGGGGCGGGTGGAGGGCGAACCGGATCTCCAGCTCGCTGTTGCTGTCCTGCCTTACCACCGCCTTTGCCCCTTTTACCGCTGCCCTTGCCCGTGCCGCTGCGCAGGAGCTTGTCTGAGTGCGTCTTCAGAAGCCCTTGCCACTCCGGGTCTGCGCTGAGGTACTGCTCCCAACCGTCGCCGTACTTGATCTTCAACGGTCCCGTCGTCACGCTCGCCTCCATCACGGTGTCGGGCCCCATCTTTATCGCGCCCGCTTCCGGGTCCACCCAGAACGCCCCCTTCTCGAAGCCCCACGAAACGAGAAGCTTCTTCGCGCTGAACAGAACGGATTGGGGTACCCGAACCTCGAGAGGAGCATCCGCCTTTGCCCAGACTGGTTTGTCCTCCAAATAGACACGCGCGGCTCGGAGCTTTGATACTGCAGAGTTTCGATCGGCCGCGGAGGCAAACTTGCCGAAGAGAATGCCCGAGAAGTCCCCCTTTGAGTAGAACTCGTCGGCGGACGGGGCATTGCACCACCAGAGTTGGTCCTTCAACCATTTCTCTGCCTCCGCCTGGCCGCTAAATCCGAGGAGGTTGCCAAATGCGGCAGTCTCCTGCTTGGAAGTGGTGCCAATGGAGCCGACGGAGCCGGCGGCGCTCCTCAGCTCGGCGATCTCGATCTCCAGCGCCTTGATGTGGTTCACGACTTCCTCGGTCGCATGGGATCCTGCGTAAGATCCTTCGGGGGCCAAGGGGATCGTGTTTTCCAGGGTCGTCAGATGGATGTCGACATCTTCTAATCTCTCCTCGGTCGCGCCCATTCTTGCCTCGAAAGTTTTCCCAAAATCTACCACGCTGCGCTGCGCCCCGGAAATTGCATTCCGTAGGGGCTGAACCTCCTGCTTCACGATGGCCGCGATCTGCGCGAGCGTGGCCGCCTCAGGAGCTGATCCTTGTTGTTGCTGTTCCGACGTCGTAGGAGTTGCCATCGCGTGCACCTCCGGTCGGGGAGGGGAGAGGTCGAGATCGTCCATCTCGTGAAGTGGGCTGAACAAGCGTTGGCGAACGTCTCGCTCAAGTACTCCTCGAACTGGGGCCCCTGGCGCTCGCGTACCGGCCATCGCGAGATATGGGAAAGGGAACGGGAAAGGCGGCGTGGTGGTAGAAATCAGAAGGATGTATGTAGTCAGAAGGATGTATGAAGTCAGAAGGGTCCCGTCAGCAAGGAATGCCCCGCTTGAGCCACCTGCCCCGCTGGACCCAGAGGAGGCAGAGGAAAAGGACAAGGGAGAGGGGGGAGGCGACAATAGACACGTGACCGATGATCAAAAACGGGCCCCCCACGAGATGGCACGGCGACCTTGGGCTACGACTTACGCGGGCCGCCAGCGCGGCGCGCTACATTAGAGACGAGGGCGCTGACGCGCGACCTCACGCGAGCAGTTTACGCGAGAATATCGCGCAAACGGCCCCGTCTAATCTGCGTCGCTCACATGATAGCGACGAAGGTGATGACGATGATGATGATGATGATGATGAGGAGGAGGAGGAGGAGGAAGAGGAGATCGAGGCGTAGAAGGAGGAGCCCTGGCGAGGGAGGGCGAGGGCTGAGAAGGTGCTCCCCCGCCACTGCCCCGCTCAGACCTCGCAGACCGCAGGGCGCCTGGTCAATCCATGATCAGCCGACGTTACACGACTGATTCACAAAAAGATCTGAATGGCTCCTGGCACCGACTGCAGGGATGAGAGGCGCCTCCTCCTGGCACGGCGGGGCGCGGTCTATGGCCGCGCGCGCCGACACTGATCAGGACGTGCCCCGCGACGATGAACTTGGGCACGACGACGCCCAGCCCGCCAGCCGCCCCGGCCGCCGGCCCGGGGCGCCCCCGCTGGCGCGCCGAGCGCGCCAGCTCTTCCACCAGCGCCGCCGCCGAAGCCTGCGCGGCCTCGCGCCCGAGCGCGGAGCGCAGCTGCCGCGCTGTGGCGCAGCGCAGCGCCGTGCTCAGCTCGGCGCCCCAGCGAGCAGCGAGCGCGCTTGCGGCAGCGTCGGCCGCCGGCCCGTCGCCCAGCAATTGGGCGCGCCCGCGCGCCAGCCAGCGCAGGTGCTTCAGCGCCGCCGGCCCGCGGCGCCCGGCCGTCTCGAGGCTGAGCGGCAGTACCCGCCAGGGGGCGCGGCCGGCGGGGTAGCGACGTCTCTTGTCGCGCTCCCCCCGCGCCACGGCGCCGTCCGCGCCTGCCGCCGCGGCCAGGGCGTCGGCTTCGCCCGGCACGCTGTAGCGGACGGTCACATCCGCTAGCAGCTGCGGGGAGCCCGCCCGCTGCGCCTGCAGGTCGAGCAGCGCCTCCTCGCGGCGGGCCTGCAGCGCGGCCCCGCAGGCCCGGCAGGGCCCAGCTGGCGGGGCGTCGGCGGAGCCCCGCGCCGCGCAGCCGGCTGCCGTGCACGTCCAGTGCCAGCGGTCCCAGGCCGGGACGTGGACCTGGCGCGCCGTCTGGAAGCCGCACTCAGCGTGAATGCGCTCCCAGACGTCTTCGACAGTCCGGCTGCGGGCTTAGTGCCTCCCCCGCAGGCGCAGCGGAAGGCGCGGTGCGCCTTGCTGCAGAGGGGCTGGCCGCAAAGCTGCCCGGCGCGCGCGCCCGTGCGCCGCCGGTTCTGGCAGCGGCCGTTGGGCGGCGCGAGGTCCTGGCCCAGCAGCGCCCGCGCCGTGTCCAGGTAGTCGTCGTCCCCCAGGCGCTGTCCGGGCCCGCCGTTCGCCAGCTGCCAGCCGGCCGCGTGGGCGCCGCCGCAAGAGCGGAGTCGCGCCCGGTCCTCGGGTCCCAAAGTGCTCAGCAAGGCGTTGTGGTTCTTTTTGTCGAGCCTGCGCGTGAGCATTTTTTTGGCTTTCTCCCGAGGCGCCCGGGCAAGCTCCCGCCAGGGCGGCAGCGGCGCAGCGTCCTCCCCCTCCTCCTCCGCGGCAGGGGCCGGCCCCGGCAGCGCGGCCAGGGCCTCCCGGCAGGCCGTGGCCAGCGGCAGGCCTGAGGTGTCCAGGCCGCTCCTCTCCCGCGTGCCCGCTAGGCTCTGCGCCCAGGAGCCCGCCCAGGCCGCCGGGGCCAGTTCCTCCTGGCTTCGAAGCCGCGCCCGCCGAGGCGCAGCGGCAGCCGGCAGTGCGCGCTCTGGCCCTCTGTCAAGGAGTCCAGGTGCGTCAGCTCCTCGTAGGCCTGCAGGGTAGCGGCGTCGTAAGCGGAGGCGGCGGCCCGCGCGGTCGCGGGGGGGGGGGTGCGCAGCAGGTGCACCAGTTTCCCCGTGCCGCAGTGCCGCAGGAGGAGCCCGGCAGCCTGCGCCGCCGGCAGATGCGGCGAGGCCAGTCCCGGCAGCTCCGCGAGCCTCCCCAGCAGCGCGGCCGCGCGTGCCGCAGTCTCGGCGCAGCGCTCGGCAGCGTAGGCTGGCGCCCCCAGGTCCAAGCGGCGGCCGTCCGTCGCGTCCGGCAGGTTCCCCGGCGGCAGCGGCTCGCCCAGCGGAACACCCACCAGCGTGAGGCCGCGCGGGCGCCACTGCTCCTCGAGCCCGGCCGGGCACGGCGAGCGCGGAGACCAGGCCTGCGTGTTGTGCGGCTGGAGCTCAGGGCCGAAGGCGCCCAGGACCGCCTGCGCCGCCGGGGTGACGGCGGCGGCCTGCTCGGGCGGCGTGAAAACGATCACGTCGTCCAGGTAAGCCAAAACCCGGATGTCGTCCGGCCGCAGCCCCCGGGCAGTCGTTTCCGCGCGCAGCGCCTCCTCCAGTGCCTGCAGGCGCGGGCGCAGGCCGCAAGCGAACAGCAGCGGCGCCAAGGGGTCCCCCTGGTCCACCCCGTCCGCCGAGCGGAGCTTGTGGCAAGCCCCGCTGCTGTCCCAGAAGTAGTACTGGGAGCGCCGCTGGCAGAAGAGCTTCGCGAGGGGGAGCAGCTCTGGCGCCGCGTCCTCCAGCTCTCATCTTCCTCATCTTCCTCCTCCTCCTCCTCATCTTCCTTCTCCTCCTCATCTTCCTCCTCCTCCTCCTCATGCTCCTCCTCCTTCTCCTCCTGCGCTTCCGCTTCCTACCCCCCCTCCCCTACCCCCTCCTCCTCCAAGGGGGAGGCCTCATCCTCCGAGGGGCAGGAGGAGGAGGAGGAGGAGGAGGGGGAGGTCGGGGAGGAGGGGGAGGGAGGATGGAGCTGAAGGGGAGGGTATCTTACCCTGGCGCCTGGTAAGCTCTCACGGTCGCGACCAGCACTGCCGGGTCGGCGGCGGGGAAAGCCGTCACCGCGCTTTGCCGCGGCTAGCACGTGAAAGGGAAAGGGTCGCGAAACTAGCACGGGGTGGGCCCGAAAGTGAAGAATCAACGCAGGGACATCCAGAGAAAATCATGAGGTTCTCATATGTCTGTACGCCCAGTGTGGCGGCGCGAGGGGGGCGACTTTCCGAGAAGGAAAAGGGATTGTTGGAAGGACTCAGAAGGCTTCCGATAAGCCGGGAGGGCTTCTGACAAGCCCTCGCTCCTCAGAAGGACGTCCCTCTCGCGACACCACCTCCAGCGCGCCGCCGACTTCTGTTGACGATTTTTCGCCCCGGATCCATTCCTGATGGTCCTGGGCCCGATGCCCCTGCGGAGTCCCAAATTGATAGGGAAGCATTGGAACTGAAACCAAAATTACCCGGCAGAGCACCCTGATAGCAGCAAAGATGCAGAGACGGGTCCAGGAGTAGGAGGTCGGCCAGTGAAAACATGCACTCCTAGGTAGTCCGTGGGTTCGCAAGGAAAGGTGCAGCCAGGACAGGGGTCAGGGCACGGCTGTGTGCACCCCATTGCATGTTTTACAAGGGATCTTGGCCGTCCAGACCAAAAATGTAGGCAGCACCGAGGCGAGAGCACGGTTCCTGAATAGATGTTAGCCAGCTTGGATCCCAAACGGCGTGTTTCCAGCAGTTGATGGAGCAAGAGCTCCCAAAGAGGCCCCAAAAAGGCCCCCAAGAGGCCCCCACGGAGCCCCAAGAGGCCCCAGAGAGGCTCCAAAGAGGCTCCAGAACAGTTCCCTAGAGGCCTCAAAAACTGCCTCCAGAGGCCCCCGAGAAGCCTCCCACGAGATCCCGACGAACATCCAGGAGGCCTCTCAACCGCAACCCGGGCACAGTGGCGTGCTGGGCCAAAGGCCATCAGACATATTACTGTGAGAACCCTCCAGCGAAACGCTGTCAGGCAACGATCCTGCCGGGACTCTGGGCTGCCCCGACACGGCGCAAGCGGCCCGGCCGCCAGGCACGCCGCAATGGCGGATGAGCGCGGCGGCGCAGGTGGATAGGGCTGCACCACCTCCGCGATGCGGGAGGCTGGCAACAGCGCGGTCTCGCGCCGCCCCTGGCGAAGAGGCAGGGTCGCGCACCTACGCCTGACGTCGAGGATCGGAGCGCGAGGTTCGAGGGCGAGGGGTCAGGTCTGGTGGCATGCTCCCCAACCTGTGCTTGCACTGGGGGCTCATACCTGCGTTCCGAGGTAATCGGATGGGCGCGCTTCGGGGATGGACTGACCCCGGTCAATACACACCTGGGCCAGTCGGGCTTTGCAGGATCCTGCAAGATCCTGCTGGATCCTGCAAGATCCTGCGCGCTACCCAGGTCAATGCACCCCTGGCCCTGTAGGATCCTGCAAGATTCGGCGATCGGGCTGACCCCCGCTGGCACTGACCCCCGTCTCGAGGTTTCCGAAGAAACGGCGCCCGAGGACGCCGCGGGCGCCCCGCTGGACGGCGCCGCGCCCGCCAGGGAGGCGGGCGCGGCCGCTGGGGGGCGCCCCGCCGCGTGGCGGGGGCACCTCGTGAGCGCTGAAGTAATCGGATGGGTGTGTTGGTGCTCGTTTGGTGGCCGTCGCATGCCGCCCCCCCGCCCCACCACCACTTTGGCACACCCCTCACACGTTTCGTGGCCCCTGTGGGAGCTCCACCGACGGCCCCAGCGGCATGATTCGCATGCCGCCCCCCACCCCCTCCACTTTGGCACACCCCTCACACGCTTCGTGGCCCCGTAGGGAGCTCCACCGAAGGCCTCAATGGTCGCGGGCGCCTCGTAGGCGCACTGTGCGCTTGGTGGGCGTGACGGGGCTTCGCCGAGTGCCCAGCCGTAGCCATCAGTGGGCGCCTCGTGCGCCAGGTGGACGCCTCGTGCGCCGGGTGCGCGTGCCAAGGCTACGGCGGGTGCCCGCGCGCG